TTAGTAAAAGGACCTGCCTGGCCTAAAAAACACTTTTTTAAGATCATAAAAAAATAAGCAAAAAAGCTCTTCTCCTTTGCTTTCACAGAGCTCAGAGTTTCTGCAGTCTTGCAGAAGCAAGAGAGGAATACTTGAAGGAATGTGGAGTAAAAGTAGAGAATTAATTACGAAATGGAGTAATGTAGAACTTTAATGTATGCCTAGAGAAGCCTCTCCATTAAACATGATTTGTTTGAAGAGAGCATCTTCTGTTAGTTTGCCCAAAGAAAAGTATACTTAAAATTCTGTAAGACACTAAAGATAGTTATGAAATTATTTGAAAAAAATGTCCAAAGATAGATAGGAAAGAAATAATACAAATTCCTTTGGATTATTCTTGTAAAAGAATAATTTTTTGTAATTTTGATGAGTTTACGTGATTTTTTAAATTGATATCTTCCCTCTCCTCTCTGATTACTTTTCTTCAAGTAGTTATGACATGGATTACATTCATGAACAAGAGGTTCAGGCATAGCGATTTGGTGGGAAAGGAAGAGTATTCAAGATTCAGAGTTTTGACATTAGTTTCAGGTGTTAATGAGGTGCAAAGTGCAACTATTTCTCTAGGTGACTGAAGTAGAGTTGGAAATTTAGGTCATATGAGTTGAACAGCTTAATGCATTAAGGGACCATGTTGCATGTTAGAACATCATCAGTATGACTACTGAAGTCACCAAGAAAGAGAGAGTAGAGAGGAAAACAGGTCAGCATCTGCACATTATTTTCAAAAATGGCTCTGGTTCCATGTTTAGGGCTAAAGCCAACTGCTACAGTCATGGAGGAAAGTGGAAGAGTAATAAAAGAAAATGACATGGTTTTGGACAAGGTGACAAAATCAAGTGGCTTAAACTTGTAAAGAAGAGGATTTGTGGAATGATGGTTGTAAAGTGAGAATTTTAAAATGGAAGTGGTGTGCAATAATTTTGCTACATCCTCCTACTGACTGTGAGTTGGAGATGGAGGAGAGAGCAGTCAACAAGGGAAACGGTGGAGAGAGTCAGGTTCCAGTTAATGCCAAGAGATGTAAGGAATTCAGAGTTAAGAGATCTAGAATGAAAAAGATGTTGCTGATAATAGGACATGGCTTTTTAAGAGGATTCATTGTTGGCAGAGGAGAATAGGAACTTGAGAAAGGTAGAGCTGTGGCCAAATCAAAACAGGACTTTGGGAAGACAGCAAAAGAAAACCAGGATTTTGGTTTTTTGTTTTGTTTTTGGGGGTGGTTTTTTGTTTTGTTTTTTTGCTCAGACACATGTAAAAAAAGAAAGATTACAGCAATAGGATTTTGGATATTGCTAGTCATGGTATATGGGGAATGTTATTAGGCAAAAGTTTATGTTATAAATCAACAGTTAGAGTATTAGTGTAATGGACCCTAAATGATCTTATTTCCTAAATGGATCATCCATTCACACAGTTGAAGAAGGTTAAGGGTAAAGGGCATGAAAACCCAGATATTGTTGGAGGCTTTTGGTGATTCTCTTTCCCAGGTTGAATGCCTGCTTCAATGATTGTAGGGGCAAAGGTCAAAGAGGCCAAGAGAGCAGTGAAAGTGGAAGTAATGAATCTGGAAAATTAAAAAATATATATATCTCATACTCTTAAGCCAGCATCTCCAAATTACCTTAAGAAATGATTGCTTCCTTCTCTACATTTGATTCTTTATGCATATCAATAAAAGGAGTCTTCAGGTGGAAGTATAATGAAGACTTAGAGATCTCAATTGAGAAACTCTTTTAAAAGTCACAGGCAAAGTATACCAAGACAAAAGCTTTTTTCCTTGTTTGGTCCCAATCTCAGTATTAGTTCCTATTTAATCAGACCCATATTTTTTGAAATATGTTATCTGATTTCACTCAAAATATGAACACAGACATTTGCAACCTTGGCAACTCTTCTGAAATATACCCCTTTAAGCCATTGTTGCCTGGAGCAAAAATTGAGGAATATCTTTAAATGAAGCCTTTATCCTAAATGACACTTAAGATTGCATCTAGATCTAGGTCAATATACCTATGATCTAATCTATCATTCTCATTTAATAGACAGCATTATGATTTCTTTTTATATAGTCCCACATACTCATTTTCTGAGTGTAATTTCTTTCTTTTATTTTGCTTTGGGACTTTCTTTTTAATTTAAATAAAAAAATATTTCAAATGTCTTAGAAATGCCCCGTTCACTTGTGAATATACAACATGTAGCTTCATTAGTGTCTAGGAGAATGTAGGGGTACTGACAGCATTTTTTAAGCAAGAGAATATATTGGGAGGAAGAGAGTATTTGTCAGAGAGGTAACATATATTGAAGAAACCAAAACATTTCCCAGTCAAAATACACATGCTATGGAAGACTGTTTTTTCAAGTAAGGGTCAGGCCTTTTTGCATAAACTTCCACCTAGTTTTTACCTCTTTCCCCACTAATTCTACCACCACCATTGGTTTCACTGGGGATCAGAGGGAGAGACCTTAATGGTGTACTCAAAGAAGTTCAGAATTAATGTCACAACTCTTTATAGCCCAGGACATTGTAGTTTGGAAGAGATGAGTTAAGGAACATGGTAAAGTCTAGAAAGTGCTCTGGTGTAAGGACAGGAGAAGGGAAGATAAAGCTTTACGTGGTTATTGTTTTCCTTTCATTTTCCTTATTCTTCTTGAATACCATGAACCAAAGTGAATTCTATCACCTAGCATTTATATTCAGAAACATTAAACATTGTTCAGCTCTTTAAATTGGACTAAATATATACCTGATGGAAAGTCAACTTTTATTCATCTGGGGCAGAGTATAATAGAAGTAGGTTCATCTCAATATAAGGAAAAACTTTCTATCAATTAGACATAGTTGGATTACATTCAGAGGTATCAATTACCCTCAGCTGAAATTTTCAAGCAGAGAGTGGGTGTAAACAGTGTTAATAATAAAACAATTTATATAATACTTTGAGTAATAGAAATCATTTTCCTTACAAGAACCTCACGAAGTAGGTAGTAAGTGAAATCACTGAATTTTATAGATAAGGAAACTGAGTCTTAGATATGTTGAGACAGAAAGACAGTCTGTAAGCAATGCTGGGCAAGTGATTTGCCTAAGATCATGCAGTGAATTAGCTCATAGCAGAGTTTAAGATTGAATCCAATTTCCTTAATTTCCAAATCAGTGATTTTTTTTTAATAACAAGGAATGAATTGTGTTTTGTAAGTAGCTTCATGTATTTTAGCTACTTCTTAGTGTCATTGTACTATTGGTTAATACCTGTATAAAGTCTCTTCAGTCTGTAAGATACTTCCCCCCTACACGCACACACACACACACATACTTGAATTAATCAATCTAGTAAACTAGATATTAAGGTCATTTCCTATAATCTCATTGCAACTGTAGAAAAGCTCTTAATCAATTTGAGGAGACAATAGAACTTTGGGACATTAGATGAAAGGTAAATTTTGATTCATTGAGAATATCAAGTCATACCTCTTGAGAGACATAAAAACAGCGAGTCAGATGAGCTATGAGTGCGTCAAGTGGTGAGGGATTCCAGGGTCAGAGGGAATTGCTCTGGGGAACAAGGAAGGAGAGAATCAAAACTCTCTCTGAATGTTAGAAATTTTCTTGAACTGAGGCTTTGAGCTATAGTTGTATTAATAACTTTCTGTCTTATATAAGCTCCATAAAATAACAGTGAGAACTTCATAGATCTGAAGGCAATTGTAACGCCAATATACCAAAGTCAAGCTAATTGTTATAACAGGCTGTGGCTGATTAAATATCTAACCCCCATATCAGCAAGAGGAAGGGAGAAAGCAGAGTAGAGACAAGGTAAAGCCTCTGAGATTCATCTCTGCCCCTTCTAGAAGGAAGGAAGAAATAGAAATTGTCAAGTGCCGTCCACCAGTGTTACAAGGCTGTTTTGCAATTGTTGTAGTTGCTTTGTAGTAGAGAAGGTAAAATCTCTTGATGTGAAATTTAGACATTACCTTTAGATATCTTAATTAATCCATGCTTTCCCTGTCTCTGGTGTCATGGACAATCAAGAATAGAATAGTTCCTGATAATAGGAATGAACACAGTCAGTTCCCTTTAAACAGAAGAGGACATTTTATGAATCAGCATAGTATGTCCTAAATTACGTCTGTCACTGCAAGTTCCATTTTCTCTTTTGTACTAAAATATTGTGTAGAATCTAGAGAATGAATGTAGGTTTCCTTTGGTTGAATTTCATGTCTTGTGTCCTGTAGAAGGAATTTATCATCTTATGAATTAATTTTTGGATTGAGATTAGGCTTCTAAAAGTTTCATATATATATATATGTGTGTGTGTGTGTATATATATATATATATATATATATATATATACACATATTTTTACTTTCCTTTTTCCATAGGTAACTATAAGGTTAATGCTATACTTTCACAGTTCTTGTTTCTTTTATTGTGATCATCTTTATATATTCTAGAATGTTTGGCATTTCTATTTTGTAAGCCACAATTTTATATTGTTAATGGAGACTAGTATTCTTAAATGCGATTTTTCTCCAGAAAAGTGTAAACTGGGTACCCTGGATTCCCAAAACTAATCATCTTCTCTCTTAAAATCAGGATTAGTTGGATCTGACAACTAAGTATGCAGTAGGTATCGTTCAAAGGTAGAAAATAACTACTTTTTTATTAGATTATATATTATATGATATAATGTTCATATATATTACATATACATATGTACATATACACATAGATATAATGTTATAACTGTCATTTTGCTTGCAATGAGGTAAGATAATAGCAAAAATCCATACAGTCAAGCTTCTAACATACTCAATCATTCAGTCTTAAAAATCACATTCTGGAAGCAAAGATTTGCAGTAATAATGTAAATTGGAATTATTGAGTCATGCTGGTTTGATATGTGCTTTTAATTGCCTATCATTTATCAAGTTATTTGTTTTTTATTTTCTTGTAGGGATGACCTGTCAAGCTCGGACTTCATACACTGAAGATGAAGTTCTTTGGGGTCACCGCTTTTTCCCTGTTATTTCCTTAGAGGAAGGATTCTTTAAAGTTGATTATTCCCAGTTCCATGCAACCTTTGAAGTCCCCACCCCACCTTACAGTGTGAAAGAACAGGAGGAAATGCTTCTGATGTCCTCCCCTTTAATAGCACCAGCCATAACTAACACTAAAGAAAGGAATAATTCTGTTGAATGTCTAGATGGAATAGATGACATTAGTACCAAACTCCCATCGAAGTTACAAAAAATTACCGGAAGAGAAGACTTTCCCAAAAAACTCCTAAGAATGAGTTCTACAACTTCAGAAAAGGCCTACAGTTTGGGAGATTTACCCATGAAACTTCAACGAATAAGCTCAGTTCCTGGCAATTCAGAAGAAAAACTGGTATCTAAAACCACAAAGATGTTGTCTGATCCCATGAGCCAGTCAGTGGCTGATTTGCCACCAAAGCTTCAAAAGATGTCAGGAGGTGCAGCCAGAATGGAAGGGAACCTTCCAGCCAAATTAAGAAAAATGAACTCTGATCGATTCACATAACAAAAGCAGACTTTTAGGAATTATTTAAAGTTGAAGTTAGTAGTAGTCCAAATTTTGTCTAATAAAGTAAGCCTCTCCATAGGACAGATTGTGAGAAAGGTGACATTTCCCTGTGTATTCCATGTACCCATGGCAACATTGCTCCTCAAGTAATGCTGACTATGCAGAAAATGGAAATTGTAATGGGGGAAAGTCAAAAAGGACCTGCTATTATTAACTGGCATGTAGTATCACACCAAGCATGCAATAATGTGCAAATTTCACATTTAGTTTTATGGCATGATTCTTAACTATATTTATATTGTACATTCTGAAAAATATTTAAGGAGGTATTACCCTCCCCTATATTTCTAAAGTGTATAGTAGACAAATGAGTGGATAGCTTTCAGGGCACACTACAATTTTAAGTTAACATATATACATATATGTATGTGTACCTATGCACATATATACATGTACATATATATTTGTGATAGAGATTGTATTGTTCTGTTCAATATAATAGTCCTGCTGCATGTTTACTTTCTTAGAATGCTAAGTTTATTGGCATTACAAAATTATTAACCAGTTACTTGAGCCTTAAATTATTTGTCATTTTAAAATTTGATTTAATGTTTGTTTCAGTTTATCTGTCATTTAGGATCACGGGAGGCTTTCGCTTATGCTTTAAAAGAAGCATTCACAAAGTTTGTACTATTTTAGGGCTGTGCAAATGATGACCCTATAGAGTTAACTTTTTAAATACAAGTTACAAATATGCAGTGATATCACTATATAAAGTGTCTTTATGATTTTTTTTTTACAAATGATGTGAAAATGATAAAAACGAGGAAATGTTGCTTGATTTGACATCTGCAGAATTTGGCCCCTTTCCTGGAAAGGTTAATCTTGTTTCTTAAAATGTTGTGAAGTTTTAAATAATTATATTTTCTAAAAATATCAAAAGGCTTACATTCTCAAACAGCTTCATACAGGACCCAGCACATGAACAAATGCTGAATCATTATGGTAATAATTAGGAGTCAAGTTACTTTGAATATGTCAGAATCTGATTACAAGTTCAGTGATGAATGCTTCCTATTGCAGCCTGAATCAGTTGGATCCATATAAACATTATGGTGTGAAATTTTTCTCATTTTTAAAACAAGCAATTATCTCAAACAAGGTGACCATTTAATGATGAATTATGATAAATATTTATCCATAACAAATGTATAGGTCTTATTTTATTTCAATTTTTATTCTTTTCCTCTGCTAAGTAGTTTTATTGTTTATTGCCCTCATTTTCTCTCTCACTTCAGCAACTTCTCCAGTTCATTGATTCCATTGATTTGGACAGGAACTTTTTGTACAGAAGAAATATATGGGGTTGTGGAAAAAAATTAAAATCTAATGTAATAAGAATACTTTCAGAACAGAGTATAAGCAAACTTTTGGCTCCATTAGGCTCCCTGCTGTAAACTAGTCCAATCCAGCATGTATTTCCTTTAGGTACCTAGCATATGCAAAGACTATGATTGGTACTATGGATACAAAGATTAAACAAGAGACATTCTCTGACCTTCAGGAGCTTACATACTATAGCAGAGAATGTAAACATTTAAACTAGTAAGTATATACATGTTTATTTGAAGAGGAGGAAGGAGAAAGTACTAATTGCTATCAGGATCATGAAATACAATGAGTTGGCACATGAACTGAGACTTGGCCAATAGTATTTTCCTAACCCCAACTTCTGAAACTCTTTAATAGTTGGCATGAAGTTGTAGTTACCAATTATTGGAATACCTGAGACAATGATTTGGAATGCATGAGTGAGGCAGCAGTTTGAGGAGGTAACCATAGTACACCTTCACTGCATCTTTATGGCCCTGTTCATAAGAAGCAATCAGTGATAAAAAGGGCATAAAGAGCAATGATGTACCTTACTTCTGGTTTTCTTTATTATAAAAGGATTGTGTGTATATAGTCTGACTCAGTGACTTCCTAAGGATCATAGATTTAGAGCTGGGAGGGACCATAAAAGACATTATCAGATCCAGCTCCCTCATTTTACAAAAGATGAGGAGACTAAAGGTGAGAGTGGGTAAGAAACTTGCCAAGGATCACACATTGGATTCAAACTAAGGTCATCCTGACATCTGGTCCTGCTCTCTATCATTATGCACATATTATTGCTCAGTAATTCAGTGGGACTGGTTCATGTTCCCTCTAACACTCGTATAGTTATTTTGGATGTAGTTAGTAGGGTAAATGATATTTTGTTTTGTAGAAAAGCAGTATAATTTAGTGCAATGGTTCTCAAAGCGTGGAGGTCCTAGAGCCCTTTTCAGGAGAGCCTACAGGTCAAAACTATTTTCATAATAATACTAAGACTTTAGTTTTAATTTCTAATATGGTAAATACCTATAACGAGAACCCAAATAAACAAAAATATCTTTGAGGGGAGGAGTTTCTCAGTAATTTTTAAGAATATAAAGGGGGTCCTGAGACCAAAAAGTTTGAGAACCAAATAATAAATAGAGGCCCAGCTGTGTGATAAGTCACTTGATCTTTCAAGGCTCCTGGCAACTCTTTAAAGATTATATATTAAAGAGGTCTTGCTCATCTTGTATCAATGGATGAATTTTCAAGCTCTGATGAAATGTCACACACACACACACACATACACACATAACTGATTAGGGTGATAACTCATAATATTAAAACCGAAAAATCAGGACGGGCAAATTTCCCACTGAATGAACCGACATTAGTTCCCTTTCTCCCAGTGTCAACTCCCCTTACACGAGTATCTGAGTATCCAAAATGTGGTTTATTTATGTAAGAATAGAGATACAACAGGATATTATGAATCTGTTGGGGTCAGGTGATTAAAAGTAGTCATCAAGCATTCATTAAGCACTTAATATGAGTCAGTCACTGAGCTAAACACTGGGCATACAAAAAAAGGTAAAAATATATTGCTTGGTCTCAGGAGTTCAAATTCTAATGGGAGAGATAACATGCAAAGAAATGTACATACAAGATGTGTACACTGTAAATGGAAGGTAATATCAGAGGAAAGGCATGCTTTAGTAATTACTCAACATTGACTGTCCATTGTATACAGAACCCATTCCAATCTCTCTATTTTAACTCACTTGCTGCAGAAAATGAATAGAATATGTGTGTGTTGCAGGTAGAGGTGATTTTTTCTTATTGGTGAATGTTGCCTTATATGAATGACAGATGTCATTTCCAGAAAGGCATTCTCTAAAGTACATTTTTACATGTGACTTATTTCTAAGATCTCTCTATTTCAGATGGATTCGTCTGAGTGAATCTTGTTTGTTCTTGTTGTCGCTTTTTGTGATATAGCACTTTGCTTTCTAGGATTGGGGGTGAGAGACGCCCAGGGTAGTTATGTCATTCTCAATGAATTCATTGCTATGAAACAGAACTGTGTTCACAACTATACTGAGTATAGTTAACAGAGAAATGGTGCCCTTTTCTCTCACTTCACCAGTTATTGGTTCTCTCTGACCTCTAGTCCAACCAAGTTATCTTATTTCCAAATTGTTCAACCTAGAGGCCTCTTGTCAAAGTGATTTCTTGGAACTTGTGTTTAGTCTGTGTATGGCACCCTTCCTTAGCACAGAGGCCTTATGCTCTTTTATGGACTGAATAAAATAGAAATCTCTGGGCACTGTCACTTGGCAGATTTTGTGAGACTTACGCCTTGGGAAAGAGTTTAAGAGATAAAGCAAACCTGCATCAAGATGATCTTTGGCCCATTGGTGTTGTGGTCAGTATTATACACACTGGAAGGAAACCCTCTGACTCTACAAAATGTTTGATGAATTGAATAATCCTACTTAAGTTAGCTACTGCAAAATGCTCCCTATTCATAAAGTTCTCATGTTGCAGAACCCATCAAAATGAACATGTTCCAATCTGATTCATCCAAATGCTGTAAATAAATAAATGAAATAAAATAATTTTGATAATTTGTGTCTTCAACTTAAAAAAAATCACATGTGAATTCATATCTTAGCCATCTGGTATGACATGAAAATACATTCTTGAATGAGTATACTGAAAGTAACAAACAGAGAGTGATTCTGTTTTAATTTTTAACTTATGGAAGGTTCTTAATTAACTAGTACAATGTACTTCGTTGTCCCAGTACATAAGCCACTCACTTCCTGGTAGTAAGATAGGCACTTAGGCAAATTGGATCTTTGAGAGCAGACAAGGGCCACTTAATGCATGCTTGCTACTAAGGAACAATTTAGAAAGTGTCCAAAAGCTGGCTCATGATCTATTTGTAAGACTACTACTGTTTTTTCTCTTACAGTTCTGCCCAGCCTGAGGGCTTAACATTATAAAGGCGGTTCAGATTAACTGCACAGCAGGTCTGTGTTCTCTACTGTGGAATCTATGCTTGAATTATACTGTAAATTGTACATATTTAAATTAAAATCAAAATAATTGCATTTTCTGGCATGCAATCTCTAATTACATAAATGTACAAGTTCATTTGGGTTATACAGAATATACACTCTTGTACTCAATACTGCAAGCTCAGTTTTATCAAAGCTTTATTAAACTTTCAAAACATTGTTGGGTTTAATTTTTACAGTGTGCTTGTCATTTTTGCACTTTCCATCAGCTGATTATTCTAAGATTCTCTGGGGTAAGTTTAATTGTGGTAAGGTTTAATACCCCTGAGATATAGTAATCTGATCAAAGTTGTTTCCTGTAAGAAAATGGCGGAGGGGGGAAGCTTTTTTTTTCTCTTGCCTTTGTTTCCTGCAGCATTAGAAAGGCATAGAATATTGTGATAGTCTAATATCCTAATTGTACTTTATTCAATAATCCAGTAAAAAGACCAATGAGAGAAAAAAGGTTAAAAAGGCATAGGTTTATTAAATCTCAAGGAGAGAGATAAGACATGAATAACTTTAAAGAAATTGGATTTACATACTGTTTCATTTATACCAAGGATTCTTAACCTTTT